GCCAAGGGGAGAGAAACTGGTCATAAGGTGTGACCTCAACGGGCATGTGGGCCCAAGTCATGATGGTTTTGAGAGTATCCATGACGGGCATGATTTTGACACTAAAAATGAAGCGGGGAAAAACATTCTGGATTTTTCCTTGACATATGAGCTGGGTGTGATGAACATTTGGTTTAAGAAGAGAGACTCTCACCTTGTGACTTATAGAAGTGGAGCTAATAGTACCCAAATTGACTACTCCCTCCGTCCCATTAGACTTTGTCAGCTTTCCCTTTTTGGTTGTCCCAAAAAACTTTGCCACTTTCCCATTAAAGTAACTATTTTGTGGTTCTGCTCATTTGTCTCTCCTCTACACAAACTTCAACCATACAATTTTTACTATTTTTATTTCTCACCTAATTCAAATAGTGCAAAGTCCATTGGGACGGAGGTAGTACTTTATAGTACGAACGACTTGGAGAACTAGCTACACTGTCACTCGGCATAGGATGCTTATGCTTCATTTTCAAGGTAAAAAGAGAAGACGGGTTAAGGAGCAAGGAGAGCCAAAGTTAAAGTGGTGGAGGCTCGATGGGAATCTCCAACAAAGTTTTGCATACAAAATGTATGGTCCATTGATAATGACGCACATGTGGATGATGTGTGGTTATTAATGGAGTCCACCATTAACAAAGTGGCGAAGGAAATACTCAGAAAATCTAAACGTTGTTTGCCACCAAAAAAGGGCATTGATAATGACGCACATGTGGATGATGTGTGGTTATTAATGGAGTCCACCATTAACAAAGTGGCGAAGGAGATACTCAGAGAATCTAAAGGTTGTTTGGTACCAAAAAGGACACATCTTGGTGGAACGATGAGGTGAAACAGCAATAAGGACCAAAAGGGAATGCTATAAGAAATTGGGCAAAAGTTGAAACGACGAGAAAATAGAGGAGTACATGGAGGCAAGAAGAAGAGCAAAGAAAACTGTAAAGGAACCAAGAGGAAAAATGAACAAGAAATTGTATGTAAAATTGGACTCTAAGAAAGGAGAAAAAAATATTTACAGACTTGCTCGCCTTCGTGACTGTAGGACTCAAGATATCGGACAATTAAGTGTGTGAAGCATGTTGATCAAAGGGTACTAATGGAGGACGAGGAAATAACAGAGAGGTGGAGGTCATACTTTGATACCTTGTTCAACGAGAATAAAGTGCAAAGTATTGATGATCTTATTATACCAGAGTGTATGGTAAATCGGGGCTTCATGAGAAGGATCCAAATTACAGAAGTTAAAGAGGATATGAGAAAGGTGGAGCGGAAGAGAGCAGTGGGCCCAAATGGCAAACCGATCGAGGCTTGGAAAAGTTTGAGAGAGAAAGGTATTGAGTTGCCAACACGTTTCTTCAACATAATTTGGAAAAACAACAAAATGTCAGTGAGTTGGCAAAAGAGTACTCTCATTCCCCTATTTAAAAATAAGGGTGATGTACAAGAATGTGCCAACTACCAAGGGATTAAGCTTATGAGTCACACCATGAAACTTTGGGAGCGAGTGGTTGAGCAAAGACTTCGAAAAAGTGTGACAATTTTGGAGGATCAGTTTGATTTTATACCCGGACGCTCAACAACTGATGTCATTCACCTTCTTAGACAAGTTGTGAAGAAGTATAGAGACATTAAAAAGGATCTGCATTTGGTGTTCATTGACTTAAAAAAGGCATATGATAGGGTACCTCGAGAAGTCCTTTGGTGGGCCTTAACTAAAAAAGGCATATCACATTTGAGGTTTGTACTACGAGTGTGCTATGAGTGTACACATTTGAGGTTTGTACTACGAGTGTACTATGAGTGTCCATACTAAATGGACCGCAGAGTTCCCTATTACTATCGGAGTGCACCAAGGATCAGCTATGAGTCCTTTCTTATTTGTTATTCTCATGGATGAACTCACGAAGTCAATTCAAGAAGATATATCATGGTGCATGATGTTTGCCGACGATGTTGTATTGATTGAAAAACATTGGAGACCAAGGGTTTCAGATCGAGACGAAGCAAGACTGAGTATATAGAGTGCAAGTTTGGTGGAGGTAGAAGTAGCAGCAATAGTGAGATTACTCTTGATGGTAAGGAGATACCGGTATGTAATATGTTTCGTTACTTGGGCTCCATAATTCAGAAGGATGGTGAATTAGATGGAGATGTATCCCATAGAATTAGAGCTGGGTGGATGAAATGGAAGAGTGCATCGGGATTTCTATGCGGTCAAGGTATGCTGACTAAACTGAATGGTAAATTTTATCGAACAACAATTAAGTATGCATTAAGGTATGGCGTAGAGTGTTGGCCGGTGAAACAATGTCACATTCAAAAGATGAGTGTGGCAGAGATGTGTATGTTGCGTTGGATGTGTGGACATACCAGAAAAGACCGTTGCAGGAATGAGATAATCAAACAAAAGATGGGAGTAGCACCTATAGAAGATAAGATGCAGGAGTCTCGTTTGCGGTGGTTTGAGCATGTGCGCAGAAGATCGAGTGATACACCTGTTAGACGATTTGAGGGGTGGGGAGAAGAGACGGAGAGGAGAGGGAGGGAAGACCCAAATAGACTTGGATTAGAGGAATCAGAACTGATATGCGTCTTTTTGGGTTGGATGAGAGTATGGCTTTGGAGAGGGCAAAATGGAGGGCGCACATTCAGGTGGACGATTGATCTCTTTTCTGTTTTTCCTCTCGCTTCTCTTTTATCGTTTATCTTCTTTATCTTTTTATGTTCTTATGTTATTTTTATCTTCTAGTTTTTTTATGCTCTTTTATCTGTTTATCTTTTATCTTTCTTATATTCTTATGTTATTGTTATCTTATACTTCCTCCGTTCCATAAAAGTTGCAACATTAGAATTTATGCACTATTCACACACCTTACTTTGAATACGATTTTCTAATAATATATATAATAAAAATATTATGTATAAAATATTAATAAATTTGTATTAATGTAAATTTCCAATATATTAACTTTTTTAATGTTTACTAACACGTAAATAAATATAATTACAGTCAAAGTTGCGCGTTGGCAAACGTGAAATTCAAACTGTTGCAACTTTTATGGAACGGAGGATAGTATTTATTTATCTTTATCGTATTTGTTTTTTCTGTCTTCGCTTTTTAGCATCGATATCAAGGATCGATTCATGTTAGCCGACCCCAAAATCTTTTGGGATTAAGGCTTGGATGTTGTTATTGTTGTATAAATACATACTACCTCTGTTTTTGTTTAGTTATAAAACTTTGTATTTGATGTGTGTCAACGCACGACTTTAACCATTAATATATTTATTTGATGTCTAATAGTTTAAATCATAACTAAAAAAACATTTTAGTATACACTTATACTTTTAAAAAATTATACTACCTCCGTCCCTTAAAACTTTGCCAAAGTTGACTGGCACGGAGAATAATAAAGTAAAAACTGTGTGATTGAAGTTTGTGCAGAGGAGAGAGATAATAGAAACCACAAAATAATTGATTAAAAGGGAAAGTGGCAAAGTTTTTTGGGATGTCCCAAAAGGGAAAGATGACAAAGTTTTAAGGGACGGAGGGAGTAGTTTTTTAATATATTACTAAACAAAATGTAGTCGCAGTAGAGAATGTGATTAGTATAAAGTACGAGTATATAGTTGGTAGTAAGGATTTTTTTAGGGGTTTCTTATGTTGGTAAATCTGCTAATACTGCGCTTATGAAGAAAACGGATTATATAGAATGGACATGAGGAATTAAGAATTATTAGATGATTAGTGCTCTAGCCTTCTAAGAAAATTGGAAAGTTTATGATTTATAATTTATACTCCCTCTGTCCCTAAAACTTTGTCATCTTTGAACTTTTTGGTCAATCTAGTTAAACTTTAACCAATGATATATTCTTATAGGAAATCATTTATCATATAAAAATGAAATGAATATGTTCTTTGTTAAAAACACTTTCATAAAAGTAATAAAATTTATAAATTTTATAAAATTATAAGTTAAAATCATTGCCCAAATTTTACCATTATTGACTTGAAAATTCAAAGATGACAAAGTTTAAGGGATGAGGTAATACTACTTAATGATTCAGATTATTAGTTCTTGTTTTATACTCCGTATATAAGACTTTAAAGACTAATGTTTTACTAGAATTTTGTGGTGTGTGTGTGCGCGCATACATACATACATACATTTTTTTTGTCATTTTTTGTACTCCAAAGGGCGTCTGGGGGAGGGGGCTGGGGGAGCCTGGAGTAATCTAGGCTGAAACTCACTCCATTGAGTTTCAAACCCGAGACCTCCCATAGCGGAGAGTAAGTCGACGATCAGCTGAGCGAGACCGCTTCCTCATACATACATATAAGTAGTATTCCTGCCCGACTGGTCCGGCCACCTCAATTTGAGGTGGTTCCCAATGGTATTTTTGCTGACATTTTTTGTGTATGGTCTTCATCAAGTCTAGTTCATCCATACCAAATTTGAGCAAAAAATTCAATTGGGAAGGCCGTCAAATGATTTTTGAAAGATAACTGCACCGGAATATACATATAAAACGCAATTATCTTTCAAAAATCATTTGACTACCTTCCCGACTGAATTTTTTGTTCAGATTTGGTATGGATGAACTAGACTTGATGAAGAACATACACAAAAAATTTCAGCAAAAATTACCACCGGGAACCACCTCAAATTGAGGTGGCCGGACCACCCTCCTGTCCGGCTTGGCCGAACAGGAATATTTGTGTGTGTATGAATGCAAGACTGAGTAACCACCGCATAATCCAGAGTACTCGGTCCTACTCATTGCTAGGCCCTTGACCGAGTAGCAATTTAATTACTTAGTCGGCAACACTGATAAATCCGGTGGTTTAGTCCTGTCAAAAACTATTTAATAATTTAACTTAAAGAATATAAGATAAGATTGAAGATGTGATCCACAAATAGTAACTAGGAAAGGTAAAATGTGATAGAGGGAGTACTAAAACATACCCTTCCAAATTATTAGAACCATCTGATGAATTCAAAGCAATTGTGACCCCACGGTCATAAATAGGGCCAGAGTTTGCATCAAATGGGGTGAACACCTTGTTTTTTTTCTTCCTTGGTAGATCCATCCAAAAAGACTAAACATGAAAGAGTAGAATAATGATCCCATTAAAATCTCGTTAAACTAGTGAAGAGTGAGCTTGTGTTTAGTTGATTAAGGATAGAATATAGATAGAGTACTCTGACTTGCATTATTTTTTTAAATAAGAGATATACAAGAGATCTATACTACTACCTCCGTATCAAAATAACTATCCCATTTTCTTTTTCACGTAGTTTAAGATGAGAGGTTTTTGGTATTGTAGCTGTAATGTAGCTGCTTTTAGGGAAAATTTATTTCCAAAAAGGGAAATGGGACAATTAATTTAATACAACCCGAAAAGGAATCTGGGACAGTTATTTTGATACGGAGGGAGTATAAAAGTATAAAACATACCACTGCAGAAGTCTTATTATCCATACCAACACGAAGAGCAGGGAAATAAGTCTTCTCACCAGCTTCTAACACTTCTGCATCCTAAGTAAAAGAAATACAGTCCACTGTTAAATTTGCTTGCCCCACTTACAGGTATCAGAATGCATCACTGACCTAGTAAATAGCTTATGTTTAATTCTTGTTTTTGTTGTTCCTTTTTCTTTCTCTTTTCTTCAGTCAAATTGTTTTCACGAACTTCAGTCAAATTGTTGAAAAACATTCAAAGGAAATCTTTATTTTAGTTTCTATATATCTTTTAAGAAACTTAAAAATATTCCACCATGGCCAGAAGGACCTGAAAATAAGAGTAGGAACAAACACTAGTTGATCACAAGCTATTAAAGATTAAACTCACATGTAATGAATGACTGTGTTCAGCACACCATTGTGACCACTGCTGTAATACCTCCTCAAGCTTATGCTTTCTCTCACTTAGAAACCATTACAAACTTATCAGAGTTTGAGAAATTGAACTTTTACAAAGTAACCCTTCACATTATAGAGGTAGCATGTAGCAAGAGAACTACGCTAATTAAAAAACAGAATACGTTCACATAAATAGCACACCAGAAACATAAGAGAATCTGATTATTTAGGATTTTACCTGGTTAGGGCATTATAAATAACATGAACTGATGGTTGCTCTTCACCAAGGGCTGTTCTTGGTCTTTTGGCACCAGGTGCTGCAGATAGGTCACATTCACAAAGGGGGGGATTTTGAGTAATTGAGTTAAATGGTTAAACCAATACTTGTACTATGCGTTTAAGTGTGTGTGTATAAAGTATTAGGATATATAGTGCAAAACAGCTCATGGAATAGTAAAGAGCTAAGGTCATTGAATTTCCCAATGCTTCCTCAAACTATACTTTCCTATGTAGGACTGAAGTCCACTTTGAGCCTTCGGCTTTTCAAAATGGGCCAAATTCCCTCTAAAATGTACGGAGTATTAAATATTGTATATTTTATTTTACATAAAAGGTATTTTGGACTAACTCTGGTAGTTTTTTATAACTTGATAGTGCAGAACTAGAATCATCAATCAAGGATCAGAAGTGAAAATGTCACTATCGTCGGGAACCAAAATCGGTATGACTCCATTTAGCAACAAAAGTGGTAGCACATGCATGCACAGAAAAATGTGGAAAAAAATTACCGCTTCGATCAATATTTGGGCTCTGCTCTTGCTGTTGACTGCCAATAGTATCGTCAATATTGATTTCAAAATCTTTGCCAACGTCTGTAGCTAAACTTAACTGGTTCCCTTTAATTCTATCATTGCCTCCATTTTCAAGAACTTCTCCATTTGCACCCTTGTCCATAGCATTACCTTCATACAGGAGAGCCAAACTTGGTTTACAATCATAATCTTCACCGCCATCATTTTCAGGTTGATATGTTGAATACCAGATTCATTTAAAATAGGCAGGTTAATTGTATCCTCAGTATCCATGTCAAATTGTCAATTTATTCGTTTTAGCAGTTCCAGCACAACTTAGATGACTAGAAATCCTGCATTAAAATTACAACTTGACCATAATGACAATATCTTTAATGAATACTTTCATTATTTTGCATACATTTAGAACCTTTGCATACAATAGCAAATGTAGTGTGTAATGATTAGACCCTAGATTAGTAGATCGGTTTATGTATGTATATCTTGCATCACATATGACCTTTGGAAGAATATAGGCTATATTGATCAGTAAGTATCCATCATCCCATATACCCATGAAGCAACACCCCTTAACACAGTGTTTTCTTCAAGTGAGGGGAGAGAGAGATATTAATACTCACCTACTTTGAATGTATTAGAGAGGGGGGTAAGGGGCAGTAAAGGAAACAAGTTAAGCGCTACATTTTATGGTTAATGAGAGTCTGCAGGGGTGTTAAAATAATACTCGGTTTAACTTTTAAATAGAAGATATTACTCTATCTGTCTATCATATCTAGTCACAGATAGACCATTTTTTACATGCTAAATAAATAAAATATGAATCTGAACAATATTTTTATCCATATTTGCAAGAAAATAGACAACTAATTTAAACTATTAATTTTTTTTCTCTAACCTCAATGTAATCTACTTAGGGATTAAAGTTATGACGATTACATGTTATTCACAAAGTACATGGTATAACGTTAAGAATATTTATAACATATTTAAACATTAATTGTGTTTCTTTAAGATACATATGATTATAAACCTGCATCTTCATGATGATAAGATAATTTTTCCATCATTTGCAATGGAGCCAAAGACTCACTATTTTTTAGCTTAGGAATATGATGGAATAAAGCAAAATGGCTCACTAATATGTTTGTGGTTCTTTGTTATGAAGCAAACAGCAATCAGTCCATGTTATTTTCAACACGATTTTCACTATGGGTCATCCGGAAACAGTCTCTCTTACCCCACCGTAAGCCGGAGCCTTTGCGGCACTGGGGTGATGATGATGATAACATAATAGAGATGTGGTGAGAAAGAAGGTGCAGAGAGAAGTGGGATACATCATAAATTGCAACAACTGTCCTAAAAAATGCCCAACACAACCTAGACCATGATTAGAGATGCTCGGCCTCTCGAATTCGCCTGCAGCTTTTCCTTGGTTCTGCCCCACCTAAGCCATGACTGATCCCCGCCCAAGTGCCTAGTCAACCTCCTAGGGCCCTAGGCCACCTAGAGTGTTTAGAACACTTGATGCAAGTCATGCAACCAAACAAAGATTTATTCATGGGATGGGTAATTTAGGCTTATTCATGGGTCATGCAACCAAACACTTGTGCTTTAGTACAGGGGTAAGGCTACCTGCATCCAACTCCTCCTTATTCCACCATAGGTGGGAGCCTGAATGATGTCGTTGATGATGATAGGTAATTTAGGCGTACTGTGAAACCACTCCATCCTACCACACACCACTATTTTGTAGGAGTAGAAAAACTACTTCATCTAGTTCACCTGCCATTCAAACAATGTGAGGAGCAAGAACCTCCCAACTCCGGGGACAAATTACCTGCCCTCCCATTCCCTCAAACCAAACAAATGGTAAATGAATAAAGATATTCAATGTCAAGGAGAGGTAAAAATCACACTGCACTAAACAAAGAGTATCCAGAAGCTCAATTGATCAAAAGCTTTAACTTTGCATCGTTTTTAGGTTAAATCTCACTCATTCCCCGTATGGCCTTATTTACTTCTAAATCAGATGTAATACCACATAAACACATTGACACAATTGGGGTTCCAACATAAATAGCAGCCTTTCTAAGCACCAAGAGATTCTTCAATATGGCATAGATTTGTAGTTTCAATGTCTCTGAAAAACAACGCCAACAAATGAGTGACAATTATTCATTCTTTATATTTTTTAAAATACGGCAGCGCAAGACTGAGTAAGAATAGCAGTCCACAGAGATTGAGCATGAGAAAATCAAAATTAGGTTAAAGAGTAACCTGAAAGAAGGATGAGATGGTGCAACCGTGCTGAAGGGAAGAGATGAGCGCGGACAACTAGAATGAGCTAAACAAGCAAATCCTCCGTATTTTATTTAACCAAAAATGGTAGAGCAAGTTGGTTCACCCACATCTATTAACCAAATAGAATCAAACCACAACAAGAATTGATACATGGGTTTGATGAGGATTCAGTAAAATACACCGTTTGGTAAGAATTTGTTCAAATCGAATCATTTTGTTTGGTTTAATATTGGGTGAATTCTCTAAATAGGAGTAAAAAAGTTTTGAAATTCTAAAATAGGACTATCATGTGAATAGGAGTAAATTTTTGCCAAGTTTAGCATTACTAACCTTTAAAACATGACATTTTTTCCAAACTTGGCAGATTACTCTTATTTAGGGAATAAAAAACATGATACTCTTATTTTGGAATTTTAAAACATTTTTTCTCCTACTTAGAGCAATTTCTATTTAATTTTAAATCGAAAACCGTAAACCGAACTAATAAACTTGTAATATTTATATAAGTATTTTGTGTTTGTCTTTACTTTTCACCTTTAGAATATAAATAAATAACTTAGATCATCATAATTATGTTTAACATATATGTAGTACGGAGTATCATTTTAACTTTTGCACATTTTCCACCTTCATGATGATAAAGTTAACTAATAAGACATTAGTGTATTTGTTATACTTTGTACTCTATCTGTGTTTGTTGTTGACAATAGCACATTACATTTATATCAATTTGAGTTAAACTATAGTATCTATATCTATATACTAGTATTATACGATTGGAGGTCACATTGGTACGTGTCATTCTATTATATATCATTGCCACGTGCCACTCTTTTAGCTACTCTTAGCCACATGTCACTTTCCTTTTCATATACACACATGCTTATAATAATTATTATTCTTCATATATTTGGAAAGTTAGGTATATTACATCTATCTATATCTATATATTATACAATTGGAGGTCACATTGGCATGTGTCATTCTATTATGTAAAAACTTGTCAAAAGCGTTAAAAAGCGCTGCAAATCGCTGAAGCGCAGGCGAGCGCTTGAACTACGCCTGGCTTTTGAGAAGCTCCGCGTAGTGAGAAAGCGACGATTTTACGACGCTTTTGATCGGAGCTCGCTTAATGAAAAGCGATCGCTTTTCATCGCTTCTCACAAAAAGCAAGGTACATTGACCGGTCAACTTTTTTTTAAAATCCTTCTGGTCTCGACGCTATAGGGTTATCACGTAAGAAGAGTCGTTCGACTCTTTCCCAAATCCCAGGTGAGTTCTGGTGCTGCGTGAGGAGTTCGCCGGTGTTGCGCGAGGAGTTCGCCAGTGCTGCGTGAGGAGTTCGCCGGTGAAGAGGAGTTCGCCGGTGAAGAGGAGTTCGCCCAGGTGACAGTCGGTGCTGCGCAGGTTGTACTCCATGACTCCATCATCGTTCTTGCATTCTCGATTGTCTCTATACATTATATTGCACTTTCATTCTCAACTCTTATACATTATATTTCACATTATATTATACAGAGTAATATTTGAAGAAGGTAACATGTCTCATTGTCTCTAGATTTTGCCTTTTGATTCTTGTTTTAGTTTGAAATTGATAATTTAGTATGCCTGATTTGGAAGTGGACCTAGCTCGGATTTATGAGCACTGAGTATAACAAATATTTGGCGTCCACCGAGTATAATAGCTTTCATTCATCACCCCAATTTTACAATTTACCCGATTGTACATGGAGCCTTGAATTCCGCAGCTTATCCAACTCTGTTTCTATCTTATTGTGTAATATGTTTGTATAATAAGCTTCCAAAACGTCCTAAATTTTTTTTGGCAAACTTAAAGAGCCTATGTTTTTTTGTGAAACATGTATATGTAGAATTGTAGACAAAAATGTCTGGAGAACAATCTAAAAGTCAGGATCCTGCTTGGGAGCATGGGTTAAGGGTCACGCCAAACGATTACACACGTGTGCAATGCATATATTGTGATAAAATCACAAGTGGAGGTATACATCGTCACAAACAACATCTTGTCGGTGGCTTTAAATGTGTTAAGGCGTGTCCTAAGTGTCCACAAGAAGTTAGAGTTGCAGTGAAGGAGCTTCTTGATAACAAAAGTAAAAGAAAAAAAGATACGAGAGAGAACTTTTCCACACATGATTTTGATGATGATGATGTTGAAGAGCTGGAGCTTGGAGATGCTATGAGCATCAACTAAAGGGCCCATGAATTTGTATTTCAAAACGGTTTGAAAAGAACAAGGAACTTTGAAGAGGGCAAGAGGGACAAAACAAACTCTAGCATCTTGCAAAAAAAAGTTAAGGGAAAGGGTTGTTGGTGCATTTGCACGATGGATGTATGGAGCTGGATTGCCCTTTAACTGTGTCAATTACAAGACATTACAAAGTTTCATTGATGCTGCCGCACAACATGGACCCGGGATGAAAGCTCCTACTTATCATGAAGTTCGAGTGACATATCTTAAAAAGGAAGTAGAGCATGTGAAGGAGCTTTTCAAACCACGTGAGGATATTTGCAAGCAATATGGTTGTTCATTGATGATTGATAAGTGGACTGATAGAAGGAATCGCGCTTATATCAATGTGTTAGTTAATTGTTCACTTGGGTCTTATTTTATCCAATCAGTAGAAGTAAGTTTGGACATTTTGAATGGAGAGAAGATGCTTGAGCTCTTTGAACTCTTTGTGAATAGAGTTGGAGGGGAAAATGTTGTTCAAATTATATCAGACAACGCTTCTGAAAATGTCAAAGCTGGTAAGTTACTAAGTTTATTTTATACTTAAACTCATAATCTCTAATATATAATTTAGTTAAATTTAATTATTCTTTTCATTTTCTTATCGTTTAGGCAAGGATTTAATGGAGAAGTACCCGACAATTTATTGGACACCGTGTGCTGCTCACTGCATCAATTTGATGTTCAAAGACATATTTGAGCTGAAGCACTTTCAGACAACCTACAAAAGAGCTCTGAAATTGTCGGTCTACATCCATTCAAAAACCAAATTGTTGAACTTGTTTAGAAAATTCACCGGGAAGAGAGAGTTGGTGAAGTTTGCTAAGACAAGATTTGCCACAGCTTTCTTGACATTCAAGAGGTTAAAGGAGCACAAGAATAAGTTGATTAAGCTTTTCAATTGTGAGGAGTTCTTAACAAGCAACTATTCCAAAGAAGAGGCTGCAAAGGATTGTGGTAGAATTGTCCAGATGCCGTCCTTTTGGAACACACTTCATGAGGCACTGAAAGTTGGAGGACCACTTATGTCAACCCTTCGAATGGTTGATGGAGATGAGAAGCCGGCTATGGGATATGTATATCCTGCAATGGAATTGATAAAAGCAGCAATAGCCAAAGCCTTCAACAACAACCAATACAAGTACAAGAAAGTGTTTGGCATAATAGACACGAGATGGACTTCTCAACTTCGACAGCCGTTGCATGCAGCTGCTTTCTTCTTGAATCCGGATTTCTTTCGATTTCCAGGTGAGTCACCAGTATCTTCTACCATAAATTCAGCTGAAGTGGTGAGCGGGTTTTATGAATGTTTGGAGAGGTTGGTTCCAAATGAAGAACTTCAAGAAAAAATTGTTAGTGAGGTGTCTGACGAGCACTTTGTCACGGTGCGTCAAAATAATTTCAATACTAAACACTTATACGTAGTATAGCGTAGTAGAGTTCGTATCCACAGAGAAAGGAATGATTCTTTTTTTATGAAACTAGTAATTAAAAAGGGGGGTTTTGGTTTTGAGTGATTTAATTTAATTAAGAAACTAAGATGAACAACCTATATGAGATTTAATTCAAAGATAAAAAGGACTTGGCATTGCTACTTTCCACTTGTTGATATATTTTAGTCGATCATTGTTATATCTATAACTTATTCCCTCTCGAATACTCAATCGCGAAGTATATCCACTTCATCGAGGGTAGTTATTAACAAAAACCGTTCATTAATAACCCTTACTATTAATCAAATATAGAACAACGCCTTATACCGATTTAATAGTAGCATTTAATATTTCTAACTCCTTGATGAAATCAATTGAGATTGATAACCTCAACACAACGGTTTCGGTTTAACCAACAAAATTAATCCCTCTTAAGTTTATTAACCACGACCGTGCATTAATAAACCGAAGTTACTTACTTGTGAAACCATCAACGATTAACCATCGGTTCGTTGATCGTTTCTAGTAATAATTAATATATGAAACAAAACTAGTTGATCCTTTAAGTAATGTTCAAAATATTAATATGAAATATGAATAGGAATTAATTAATATTCAAGGAAAAATATTATTAAAGAAGATGAATCCTACTATAATTAATATCAAGATGTTAACTAATTGTCATCTTAGCAACACTCCCCAACATTAATATAGAGGAAGAAAATACCATTCTAACTACTGTCGAGATGTTAACTAATTGTCATCTTAGCAACACTCCCCAACATTAATATAGAGATGGTATTAAGGAAAGAACTATTAATTAATATTCAAGGAAAGAAGTTAAGAAAATAACTCACAACTTTAATAATCAACAAGCTTCAAGAGCAACACCAAGAATTGGAAGTTTAGCTCCTCATTTGGAGACTAAACATAGCTAGAAAAATATAAAGAAATGCTATTCTAAACTGAGTTTAAGAGTATGGAAGAAGGGATGATTTTTAGAGAAGAAAAAGAGTGCTATTTATAGGTGTTTTTCAACACCTTTGGCCGGGTACCCGACCGGGTCAAGTACTCACCCGACCGGGTCCGGTCAAAATCAGATATTTCACCACGTTCTGGTGATCTTCGCACACCGGGTTGTCCCCGGTCACTTCTCACCCGACCGGGTGAAGTTTCCTACTCGGTCGGGTATTTGCTCCTGGACAGTCAAAATTCCTTTTTCTTCACTTCAACATCCTCCTTTCTAACATCCTAATTCCTAATTCTACTTTACAACTTACAAATGAGAACTAAAATACAATTACAACTAAAATCACACAAATGTTTACAAACTAAATAAAACGTCAAACAATCACCATCGATGAAACATAAAAACATACAATTATGCACTACTAATTAGTGTGCATCAGTGTCCATTTGGGAATTAGGACGCGGACTATTTAGCAGTTCATTTGCGAAGAAACAACGAGGCGTTAAACCCCCAGGTTAATATATATTCATCAATTTATATTATTTAGAAAAAGT